ATACCGCATAGAGCACAGAATAGAAATAACATGCCCCTCGATGTGAAGTATTGGATTAGTAAACACCCTCTTTGTGGTGAAAACCACAGACTCGGTTTTTCGAGGGGAGAGTTGTAGGCCGTTCTCCTTCATCTAGCCAGAGACAACGACGAGAGCCGGATTGACCAGTTCCTCTAGTTTTCCATCGGTCCAGGTGATGCCAACAATTGCAACATCGTCCGCGAATGTGTGGTCAAGAAACTCGTTGACCCGGAATAGGATTAGTCGTTCGAGAAGCTTCCCGGCTTAATCTAGCATACACAGTGTCCTGTTTCTGGATAGTTCAGCGGTTGGCTTCCCCCCCATCCTTTATACAGTAACACTAGTCTGGCTGTTTTTCACATAGTTGGGAAGGTTCCATGTCATAGGCAGATGTCAAAGGTGTCGAGCAAGACCCCTGGTTTGAAACGGAACATATTATTTAGAATTCCGTTTGGTATAACGTCCGGACCAGTTGCTTTGCCCGCCGGCAATCTTTAATATGCCTCTGCTAAAAAGTACTAAGTAAAACTTGCGTAAAATTCATGGGGCTAATCGCCACTAAATGCGGGAGCCATATTCCAGTTCGTAGGTGGAGAATTCGGTAAAAGAAGGTCTGCAATTTCCTTCTCCCAGCCTAGAACTATGATGCCCAGCCTTTAACATGGCCGCCAGAATTGTCCACCTGTTCATCGAGCGTATGGACCACGCCCACTTTCTTATTATTATGTTATGATAACATTAGTGTGCATGATTGAATAACTTAAAAGGTCATTTGCAATCGTATTTGAAGCTCTCGATTAAAATTATATAAATCATACATTTCAATGGATTTTTAAGTATACTATTTATCAGTTATTAATAGTATTAAAAGCATTTTATGACAAGGGAATTTTTCGATATGACATTCTAAAATGAGTCATATCGAAAGATGTCTCATACCCCCCATCCCAAATATGTGTATACATTAGGTAATGTATACGATAGTATCTTATCAATGCCAGGTGCTATCCTTTAAATTGGCCGCCCGAATTGTCCACATGTTCATTGCCCGTATAGAACACGCCCTGCTATATGTCATATGTTATTTATCTTATCAAAAATATGATTACCAAGTTCTTATCAGTGACATAAATAATAAGGTCTTATCTATCCTATGCCAGGTGCTATATTTTTACATGGCCGCCGGAATTGTCCACCACTTTATCGACATATGTTTTTCCCTCACTACATCAAAATATATTTTTTTTCCATATGCTCCGCATACTCAACCTATTAAGCCCACGTAACTTTTTTCCAAATATTTTCTCGAGTAATTATCTGCTATTAACTCGACAAGTCTACATCGATATCATAAACTTACGATTATTAGTTTATAACTATTACGAAATTTTTCGTCTTTCCGCGCTCGCGTTAACCTGTAATAATATTTGTAATACATTTATTATAATGTAATAAATAATTAATTGTACATAGGGACCTGTACAGATCGAGTAATCTTTCGAACAAAATGTCCATATACCACAGCTAAAGCAGCAATCGGAGGAACTATAGATAAGCCAACCAAAGCTAATTTTGGAGATACAAAAAACTAAATACATAGATAATAATAAAACCATTAAAAAAAATTTGTAAAAATACTAAGAAAACAATTAACGATCCCATAAAAGAAACGCCACTGACAATCATTATGGTAGAACGTAGTCCATCAGAAATATTTGAAGTGACAGTTTGGCTTACAAGTAAACAATCATCTGAGAGTCGATTAATAAGTTCTCCAGCTTTATAACGATCAAAATATGCAGTTTCTTGAGATACAAGAGATTTAAATAATAATTCTCTGAGTCTTTTTGTAATTTCGTAACCTAATAATAGAACAAAATTAATAATACTAATACTAAAAATATACAAAAATATATAAATGCTTATTTTTTAAATTCTTTTTAAATAGATACTATCATATTTTAAAATTTTCTTTCATACATTTTTTTCCTACACAAAATTATGCATTAATAACATGGCTACTCATTCGTACTTTCAAAGCTAGACATTTTCACCCTTTTTTCCTCACAAATTGATGCTGATTTCCATTTTTTTCAAGGTCAACTTGATGGTTCAATTAATGCCCCAGATCACTTTTCCTCTATTAATTTCCGTGTTCCTGCCTACCCCTCAATACATCATGCATCATTTTATATCTCTACTCACTCCACCACCTACAGTCACAACCATCCTTTACACCGCATGTTTCATTGTGTCAATAAAGCCATCAAGTTTATTCTGAATATATTTGCTTTAATATTGTTTGTTTATATAGTACTTTATTTTTCTTTCGCTATTTGCAAGAAATAGTCTTAGTTTTAAGTCTATTAAATTTATTTGTACTGTTATCGTTTCATTTTAATTTATTTAGTACTTTTATTTAATCACTGTAAATTGCCGTTTGACGTTAATAAAATAAAAATTAAAATAAAAGTAGCTACCTACATAAAATGAGTAGAAAACTATTTATGAACTAAAACAAATAAGAGTCGATTATTTAAATTAGCAAAGATTAGTTTATATAAATATTAGATTTAATAGTGGCCAGTAGATAGTCAAAGATATAACTAATGTATAGACTCTGTAAAAAATTATTAATTAACATCCAAAAGTAACTATCTCATTTATTTTGTGACAACTNAATATTATAATTAACTCCATTAGTTAATATAAGATTTATATTAAATTATTATTCTAATTATTTAAGTATTATACTTAAATAGTAAATTGTTTCACTATAGATATTAGTAATTACTTGTTACTTTATTCATATTAGTCACATACCAGAAGTGTTGATCAAATAAATTCGTCCAAAATTGCACGCAGCACCAATTATAAGTATAGGAAGTTGTATAGAACATATTGTAACCAATTTAGATTGTACTTCTGTAGAATCAGACTTGTATATTATGTCAACAATACGTCCAAAGGAGAATGGAATTGCCATTGTAACAGCGCTAGATACTAGTAAAAAGCACACAGCATCTGAAATAAATAAAATACAATTAACAACAATCACTAATTTACTATAGTTAGGGCAGATATATAATTAATTATACAAATATACTTGCATATGAGTTTTTTTTTTCTGGTTTCACGAGAGAATATAATCTCAGAACCTTGAACTCTGAAAGTAATTTTTGGGTACGCTTTGCGGTACTCTTGGAGCTTGTACATCGCATCAAATTGTTAAATAACAGTCTTCGTGTAGGGCAGTGTGGAATAATTGAAAGTATAACTCTGTGTTAACAACAAACGGGCAATTTAAGTTTAGTACATAAGTTATAACGTAACAATCCAAACGTCATCGTATTGACAGGCATATCGTTAAGGCAAAAGAATAAATCGATAATTAAAAAATAATTTGATTATTATATAGCTACAAGAAAAAAAGAAATCGAGACTACATACCCTACAGTTATAGGTATGCAATAGTTTTAATGCAGTCCAAGACTGGAAAAATGATAATAAATTGCGATAAGTGATAATGTTATAAACATGAACATTATAGATAATACGTTTAGGTATTTTGTTATAATACCATAATAATATTATTATCGAATTTCAATGTTCGTTAAGTGGAGGGGCTGCAATTATTTATTTTAAAACATAACGAATTAAAACTTAATTTGTCATTTGAATGTGCTTGATAATATGAGAAACGATATTAATCGTGTTACAAGGTACAATTATGATAAAGATTTAAACAATCAACAATTATTAAATTAACTAATGGCCGTTCTCACCAACGTTAAAAAAATGGTTTTTCTGATTCTTAAACTGAGTTTAAGGCTGATAACCGACCATGATTGGACGATTGTCTTATAAACTCAGTTTAAAAATCAACGTTTACGTTGGTGAGAACAGGCCTTAGTATAATAAGTAGGTACCTACCAAATTATTTAATATTCGTTCGATATACTGCAGCGAATGCCTATTGGACTTTGAAATTAAAGGTAGGCTGATGATATAAATATTATTGTGATGTGCCTAGTGTAATTATGCAAACCCTAGTACTTTTAAGTGGTGTTGACCTAAGCTTATTCCTTTAGATTCGACTTGCAATACCCTGATTGCCTTAAAGTCAACTATAATGGGGATAGTGGATCATCCTGTTTTCGTCCCGTTTTAACACTAAAAGCTTCCGATATAATACCATTCTCTCTCACTTTGTATTTTACATCCGTATACACAAGTTAGTTAGATTTTTAAGTTTTTTGGGAAGCCAAATTCTTCCATTATATTGTAAAGGCTATTTCTATGGAAGCTGTCGTAGGCCTTCATAAAGTCTAAGATATCTGCCACATATTTTGACGGTGCATCAATCATAATTATTTTTTCTTTACTATACGTCCTATAAATGATAATTTTTCTATAGTTGACCTACTTTTGCGAAACCCACACTGATTTTCA